TGGTTCTCGCGTCTTGGATCAAAAGCACGCTTGGTCACGCGGCGCTTCATTACTTCGCGGCAGATTTGTTCAGAACTCAGAATCCGGATAGCGGACACACAGCGAGACGAGTTGACTCCGCTTCACTCGCAATCGCTGCGGCATCGACTGGCGGTACTCCTTGATGAGCAGGACCGAGCCGGCGAGCGATTTGGGAAAGAAGCAAAATAATTTAGAGAAGTGTCTCCCAGCTTACTCACGCCTGGTTACGATGGCAAGCAGACTTCTCACTTTTTTTTAGCCTTCTTCCCGAACCACTTCTTGTCGCGAAAGGTATCTGTGATTCAGATACTGACGAAAAGCTAAGTTCCTTCGGCGCGAAGCTAAATTCCTTTGTCGAGGATTAGTAGAGATCGTCGATAGAAAGAAGTCGGCAAGTTGTCCGCGTTAGAGGTAAGAGCTGACTCCCATGCGAAAGCCGCCACTGGTCGCCCTACTAATTGAGACTTCTCGCGGCTACGGCCGCGATGTGGCTCTTGGTGTCGCCCGATTTGCTCGGCTTCACGGGCCGTGGAGCTTCCACCTGACGCCGGGTGACTTTGAGCAAGACTTCCCTTCGGCCCAGTACTGGCAGGGAGACGGCGTGCTGGCTCGTTTAGCGAACAAGAGCATTGCCGAGAAACTGCTGGCGGCCGACCTGCCGACAATCGCGCTAGACAAGAGCGAAGATCAACTCGACCCCTCCAACCCCGTCTCGAAGTTCTCGGATCTGCAGGTCGATTCAGAGGCCGCCGCGAAGATCGCCGCGGAGCATCTGCTGGAGCGGCGCTACGCGCACTACGCCTTCGTAGGCACCCCGGGCAAGGTATGGTCCGACCGGCGGCAACGCACCTTCAAGAAGGTCATAGCCGAAGCCGGTCACGAGGTGCATGTCTTCGAGCCTCAATCGACCGACCCCGTGGGCCTTTGGGATCGGGAGATCCACAACCTCACCGCTTGGGTCGAGTCGCTGCCAAAGCCCGTTGGCATCATGGCGTGCAATGACGAGCACGGCTTGCACGTTCTCGACGCATGTCGTCGGAGCCGACAGAGTGTTCCTGATCAGGTTGCCGTCATCGGCGTGGACAATGACTCCTTGCTCTGCGAGCTCTGCAGCCCGACGCTGACGAGCGTCGTGCTCAACGGCGTCGAGGGCGGCTATCAAGCGGCGGCCCACCTCGACCGGATGATGCGGACCGGGAAGAACCAGCCCCGCCGGATCCAGGTGAGCGTCTTGCGCGTCGAGACGCGGGCCTCGACCGACCTGTCGGGCGTCTCCAATCACCAAGTCGCGTCGGCACTGGCTTGGATCAAGCGGCTCCGCGGCAGAGAGATCTCCGCGGACGACGTCGCCGACCAAGCCGAGCTCCCGCGGCGTGAACTCGACGTGCTATTCCGCGACAACATCGGCCGCTCAGTCTCGGCCGAGATCCAGCGGGTACGGCTCGACAACGCCAAGCGGCTGCTCGAAGAGACCGACCTGCCGATCCCCGCGGTCGCCGACGCGGCGGGGTACAGCTCGGCCAGCTACATGATCCAAGTCTTCCGGCGCGAGCTGAACACGACGCCGTCGAAGTACCGCTCGAAGCTCCGCACGCTCACGGTCGCCGAGACTGAGATGCTGCGATAAACCACCGCTGGGCGAGCAGCCGGGCGGACGACGGGGCGGTGTGGTCGTATACAGCCGTTCAGTAGGCCGTAGGGGCCCCTAGGACGCGTCCAAATGACTCGGACGAATCAAGCGTCGACCCCGCGCCACAGGGGCCGCAACGTGGCTCCTGGCGGCTCAGGCGAGGTGTTCCCAAAAAGCCCGCTTTTGAAGGGGCATCGGCGCCGTGCCGCGGCGCTATCCGAGGGAGGGTCTCACTCGCCGGCCGGCGCGTCCGCGCCCTCGATCAGCAACAGCCGAGACCCGTGTGGCTCCGCCTCGACGGGGATCGCGCCCGCGAATTCGCCGAGGTCCTCCCGCGCCCAGAGGTCGCGCGCCCGGACCGGCGCCGTCAGGCCGACGAGCTGCGGATCGAGTTGATCCTCGAACGGTTCGCCCGTTTCACTCAGCCGGATGACGGCGACGTACTTGCCGCCGGCGGGGCCGTCGGCGGTCCAGACGATCCGGGATTCGCTGCGCGCGACTTGCTTGGGGTCCACGCCGTGGTCGTTGACGTCGAGCACCTCGGGGTTGGTGATCAGTTCAGTGGTTGCGGCGTCGCTCGAGTGGAGGTCCCCGCCGAAGATGAGCGGCGACTTGGCGATGCACCACGCCGTCATCAAGGTGCGTTGCTCAGCCGGCGTGAAGCGCGTGCCGCGCTCGCCGCCGCGTTCGCCACGGATCGCGAGCCGTCCCAGCGGTAGCATGTCGCCGTCGGGCCAGTGGCCCTTCGAGCGGTAGGGCGTCCAGAGGTGAAGCTGCTCGAACTGGCGCTCGAGTGCCGGCCACTCGTCCCAGAAGTCATTCGACACGCGCCACAGGTTGGCGTGCCGGCTGATGTGTTCCGCCTGATCGATCGGCGTCGGCCCCGGCGAGGTGCTCAGCACGATCTCGCGCCCGCAGCGGTCGATCGCGGCGCGGAGCATCTCGATCTCGTCGCCGGAGTAGTTGGGCTGCCCAGGCTGGGCGTACGGATTGTTGAGGTCATCGACCTTGATGAAGTCGACTCCCCACGAGGCGTAGAGCCTCATCAGCGAGTCGTAGTAGTCCTGCGCCGCTTCGCTCTTCTGCATGCCCCGCATGTCGCGCAGCCAGACGGCGCCGTGATCGGTGAGCGGGATGTCGGAGGTCTTGAACGCCGAGCCCTCGATCGGGTAGCCGCCCGCCGGCGCGCCGAGGCCTGCTTCGATCGCCGCGCGGGGGAGCCCCCGCATGAGGTGGATGCCGAACCGCAGCCCGAGGTCATGGACCTTGTCCGCCAAGGGCTTGAAGCCCCGGCCGTCCGCCGCCGAGGGGAAGCGGTTCGGCGCCGGCATGAAGCGGCCGTGGCCATCAACGGTGAAGACCGGGTCGGTTTGGTTGTACGGCCGCGTCCCGGGGTTCTGTACCGTCCAGCGGATATCGACCACGACATACTCCCAGCCGAACTCCGCCAGCCGCTCGGCCATGAACTCGGCGTTGCTGAGGACTTCCTCTTCGGTGACCGAATCGCCGTAGCAGTCCCAGCTGTTCCAGCCCCGCGGCGGCGTCGGCGCCCAGTCGGCGAAGCTTTCGGATCGCGCGACAGAGACACAGGAGGCAACCGCGACGAGGCACGTGGCGAGGACGAGGCGGGCGGATAGGAGGCGTGTGGTCATGCGTGCGAGACAACCCAAGCGGTTGCAGGTATTCGAGGAGAGAGCGGCGGTTCCGGCGTGAAAAGAGTTGCAGCGGTCGCGACCCGATGATAGCCTGACGGAGTGCGGGAAATGTACAAGTTTTTTAGCTTTTCTCATCGGTACGCCACCTCTCTTCGGCAGCTATGACTTCACATGAACTTCCGCGTCCGCGCGGTTGCGTCGCCGCGACGCTCAACGTGCGATTCGCCCTGGCTGGTCTCTCGACGCTTCTTGGTTGGGGCCTTGGTTGGAGCGCGTTGACGCCGCTTGCGAACGCCGAGACGAAGCCCGACTTCGCGCTGACCGTCAATGCCGAGGAGCGCGGCGCGGCGTTCAGCGACACGATGCACGGCGTCTTCTTCGAGGACATCAACTACGCGGCGGACGGCGGCCTCTACGCGGAGATGGTGCAGAACCGGAGCTACGAGCACCGCGCGCCGCTCTATGCGTGGTCGGTCTCCGACGATTCGATCACACTCGAGGTCGCCGCAACGAAGGGCCTCCACAAGAACAACCCCGCCTACGCCCGGGTGCGTGTGCCGGAGTCGGCGGAATCGGGCTCGATCGTCAACGACGGCTTCGATGGCTTCGCCGTGCAGGCCGGCGAGCGATACCTGGCGGCGCTGCATGTCAGGTCGGATCAGCCCGGCGCCGAGGTCTCGGTCGTGCTGCGCGACCGCGAGGGCGCGGAGATCGCTCGGGCCGTGCTCGGCGAGGCGCCGTCCGATTGGCGCCGCTATGAGGGCGAGTTGACTGCCGACCAATCGGTAGGTGATGCGAAGCTGTCGGTCGAGTTCGGCGGCCCCGGCGCCTACGACCTCGACATGGTCTCGCTCTTCCCGGCCGACACCTTCCGTGGCCGCCGCAACGGCTTGCGGAAAGACTTGGCGGAGAAGCTAGAAGGGCTGAAGCCGGCGTTCGTCCGCTTCCCGGGCGGTTGCATCGTCGAGGGGAGGACGCTCGACAACGCCTACCGCTGGAAGGACACGGTGGGCCCCGTCTGGCAGCGGAAACAGAACGACAACCTGTGGGCCAGTCGCGAAAACCCGCAGTACCACCAGACGTACGGCCTGGGCTTCTTCGAGTACTTCCAGTTCTGTGAGGACATCGGCGCCGAGGCGGTCCCGATCGTGAACTGCGGGATGGGGTGCCAGTTTCGCGGCCGCGATGTGGTCCCGATGGACGAGCTCGGCCCCTGGGTGCAAGACGCGCTCGACCTAGTGGAGTTCGCCAACGGGCCGATCGACTCGAAGTGGGGAAAGCTGCGTGCCGACATGGGCCATCCCGAACCCTTCAACCTCAAGCTGCTGGGCGTCGGCAACGAGCAGTGGATGGAGGGTTACTTCGAGCGCTACCTCGTCTTCTACCATGCGCTGAAGCAGCGCTACCCGGACCTCCAGGTGGTCAGCACCTCCGGGCCGCAAGCCAACGACGATTACTACCACTATGCCTGGAAGCGATTCCAATCGGACGTGAAGGCCGACGTCGTTGACGAGCACTACTACCGCTCGCCGCAGTGGTTCTTGTCGAACCACGAGCGTTACGACGGCTATGACCGTACGGCGCCCAAGGTCTTCGCGGGCGAGTTCGCCGCGCACGAGCCGGACCGCGCGAGCACGCTCCGCGCCGCGGTCGCCGAGGCGGCCTTCATGACGGGGCTGTGGCGCAACGCCGACGTCGTGACGATGGCGAGCTACGCCCCGCTGTTCGCCCGCGAAGGCGCCGTGCAGTGGGCGCCCGACCTGATCTGGTTCGACAACACCAGGAGCTACGGCACGCCCTCATACCACGTGCAGGCGATGTACGGCCAGAACGTCCCCGACGTGGTGCTCCCCGTCACGGTGGAAGCCGGCTCGGCCCCGCAGCCGCAGTTGCGCGGCCGCATCGGCGTCGGCACGTGGGAGACCGCCGCCGAGTTCAAAGACATCAAGGTCACCCGCGGCGACGAGGTCCTCTACGAGTCGAGCGGCGACCTCGAGGAATGGGAGCAACACGGCGGCGACTGGACCGTCGAAGACGGCGTCCTGCGCCAGACCTCCCAAGCGACCAACGTCCGCGCGTTCGTCGGCAGTGAGGACTGGACCGATTACACGCTCACGCTCAAGGCCCGCAAACTCCGCGGCCGCGAAGGGTTCTTGGTGAGTTTCGCTTCGACCGATCCGCGCGAGACGAGCTGGTGGAACCTCGGCGGGTGGGGCAACGTCGATCACGGCCTGGAGTCCCCGCTATTGGGCCTCGAGCGCAAACGCGGCGGCGTCGAAGAGGGCCGCTGGTACGACGTCCGCATCGAGGTCGGCCCCCAGTCGGTCGCCTGCTACCTCGATGGCGAACAGATCCACCGCGCCGAGCTGCCGCCGTTGCCGCCGGTCTACGCCGCCGCCGGCGCCGACGACGAGACGGGCGAAGTGATCGTCGCGATCGCAAACCCCGCGGCGGTCGCGCAGACCGGGCGCGTCGCCCTCGCCGGCGGGAGCGTCACGGGAGCCGTCGCCTACGAGCTCTCGTCCGACTCGCCGCGCGACGTGAACTCGTTCGAAGCGCCAACGCGCGTGGCGCCCAAGCAGCTGTCGATCGAAGCGTCCGACGGCGTCGTCGAGCGGGAGTTCCCGGCGAGCTCGTTTACGATCCTGCGGATGCAGCCGGCGAAGTAAGCCGCTTCTCGCTCTTGGTAGGCGGCTTCTTCTGAGGCCTTCCACCATTCCGCTTTTGCTTCTCGTCCCACAAGGTCCGACATGATTCGCTATACCTCGATCGGCCTGTTGTTCGCCGGCCTGTTGGCCTGGGCCGACGCGGCTCGGTGCGACGAGGCGTTTCCGGTCGAGGTGACGGTGAACACCTCGACCGAGATCGGCCCGCTACGCCCCGTCTGGCGGTACTTCGGCGCGGACGAGCCGAACTACGTCTACATGAAGGACGGCGAG